AGATTCTAGAACATTCATGTGGACTTTCTGTACACTTCTAGGCAATTCATTTTTGTAATCACTCTGTATGTTTCTAGACTGTTCTCTGTACTATATAAGGCATTCTCTTTTTCCTTGTTGTTAGTTCTTTGTTAATCATTGTCAATTCGATTATTACAACACTGCCTGACTTGCTGTCTACTGCAGCTTTGAATGAGTGAGAGTGGCGGCCATTAGCTGGTCTACTGGAGGCAGCTTGACAGTAGTTCCACAGTCCAATACTTGCTCTCCATTGAGAGACATCAATCATCTTGTACTATAGTATGGAGGACAATGAGAGAATTAGGTAACTTGAGGTATTAGATCTACACTTTAAGCCAAGGCGAAAAGCAGCACAAAGTTATTATTGTTTCTAAAGTTTGAAAAGAAGCAAATAAGTCTTTGCAGCAAGCCACAGTAAGTAAAAAGATGGGTGTACTTCCAAAAATGGGTGTATTAGTATAAGATGGGTGCACCAGTACAAAGGATGAAAGGATGGGTGCATCAGTGTATGTGTTGTAAACAGCACCTCATGAAAATAGTTACACACCAATAGCACTGAATATTATTAAAATATCTTATTACTGAAGAGGGTGGATGTACATACTTACATATACAGTGTTTTTCTGATTGTTTGATTCAATTATTCAGTTACTCATCATTGTACTAGCTAATACATGTGACACGATCAGGAATTGATGTGTTATCGAGTTGGGTTCGTAAAATTAATTGGGTCAATCAACCTGCAAAGTATAGGGTTCAAATAAAAGAGTAAGATACCACACACTCATTAACAAATTAATCACTTGGAATGATTATGTATACACAATCATTCTGCTTGTTTGATGTACGTGTGATTGCTTTTAACCATTATCCTGTGCATTAGTGACTGAATCTGAAATATGTTTAAAATTTCAGAGAATGCTATCTTGTGGCAATTTAAAATATGATGCTATAGGTATAAACTGCATGTTACTATGTTATGCATTAACTATTACTACTAGTATAGTACATCAGTAGTGACACCATCAACTAATTCTATGATATAGTCCCAGTACAAGTACTAGATCTAGTGGTTCTAGTATTGATGAGCTGGTAAAAAGATGAGCTGGTTCTGACTTCAATTATTCAAGTTATGGCCATATGCACTGGTTTTTTCCTGAAAATGGTCCCAAAATCACTCCTAATTTTAATTACATTTTTTGACGCATATTGTTATTGAATACAGACCCACTATCACTCGATCCGAATCATGAATCCAGGAACGATTAGATCTATACACATAAGTTTTACAATCATTATAATAATAATGCATGTAAGTAAATTTGTCAATTTAATTATTATTATTATAATGAAAGTACTAATTACAAAGCAGCATTAATTAACAATAATTGTTCAAAACACTAGTAATAATAACTAAGATTGGCTATTACCTAAAATAAAATAATTAAGTCAATATCAATTTATTATAGCTAGGGAATCAAGAAAGATTTTTTAAATCATTAGCTTTCATTATTTCATTAGCTACTGCATTTTCTCCCATTCCATTAAGAGCTTCAATCAATGCTCCATATGTTGCTTTACCAGTTTTTAGCCATGCTTCTATACACAAGTTCACACAAGTGTTTGCTTCTCTGCCATGATCAGTTTTAATATCATTCAAGCGAGTAGAATTCACATTGAGACGTTGCCCAAGTTTCTCCCAGTCACCCTTTGAAAATCCATAATCCTCTAACTTAGTAACTATTTGATTCTTATGATCATTGCAATTCAAAATTTCTATTATGAATATGAAAAATTATATTAACGAATTTAAGCCTACCTTGTCTTTCAGTTGGAGCAGCAACATCTACCCTAGCCCTTGAACAGGCTGGTCTGGTAACATCTAATAATTAAAAATTAATATGCAATTATGCATATTACTGAAACATCAAGTTTATTGTACCATTTGTATTTTTTAGATAACACTCAATGTATATTGTTACTTCTTCTTCTATACCCATTACTAATACGCCATAATATAATGTTTCTTTAGCTTCAGGTGAATCTTCTACTGTTATGAGACATAATGGAAGCCTAGTATGATCATCGCCAGCAAACTTTTCAACATCACGTTGATGTAACTTAAGACAATAATGAATTTATTTGATAATTCTATTGTTTCTTACTCGACAAGGTTTCATAAGAGGCTTAATACGCCAGCCTATTATTGAATTGTCTTGATTAGTATCATCAAAATGCAATTCAATGTATTCCTCTTTAAACCTAAAGGAAAAATCCTGTCCTTCTTCCCATTTAGGATAATTTTTTTTAAATACTATGATACAAGATTATCTAAAGTCTAAGGGAACATAAGTCTTACCTCACAGAGAGCATTTAAATCTTTAACAGCAACAAATTTTACTGAATCTCTTACATCTTTCCTTTCATAATATAACCGTCCTACAAAGGTTTGCAACTTCTCTATTCCAGTAGCTTGAGCTGTAAATAAAATAATAATTACAACAAATTTATTTAATGGCAAAGTATTATTTTAGTCTTACTAGAAAGATCTGGCTTCTCAGTAGATGAAGGTTTGTCATTTTTGTGCAAGCTTTTATCATCATTTTTCTTTTGTTCTTGTTTCAGTCCTGCAGGACCAAGTCCTTGAGGTTCCTTAAAAGCTCCACCCTTTTGTTCCTGTATTCCTCCAGGTTGTTGTAGCTCATCTTGTTGAATTTGAAACAGATCAATTCGTAGATGAAGTTTTTCTGGCTGTTCTTGACTTCCTTGTTCATTGATAGGTTCTTCTTTCAGTCCCAATGCACATATAAAACAATTTGTAGTAAAATTAAAAGACCCATACCAACTGTCAGATCTAAAGTCTCCTTCTTCTAATGAAAACTTGTAAGGAGAACTACTATCTATTGAAGCGGTGGCAAATTTAAGATAGCGACTCATATCTGGTTGTATGCTTAGATCAATACAGTGCTGCAACTGTAGTCTCATTGGTATAGGAATGGAGGTAGATACAGCATATACTGCACTAACAAGAATTGTATTTTCTGGAAAAACAAACTTTCCACCTGCAAGTGCAGTTACTTGCACTGTTAGATGAGTTTCTGATGAAGGTATTAAGTATTTCTTGAGCAGGTGAATTTTCATTCCAATGGCTTCTAAATTTATCAAGTGATGCTTGTTTAGTTCAACTGGTAGCATCATATCTTGTATGACATGTACAGCTCTTGGACAATGCAGTTTATCTAAATGATAAATCAATTATAGTAAACATTAATATCCTTACCAAAGGAGTAAGACTGCTTATCCACAAAAAACACTTTGTTACTGCTAACAGTAGTTTCTAATACAAAAGATGTAAAATAATTGAAGATCTAATTTCAAAACTGGAATTAAGATATTTTAGATTTATAGGCATCTATTATTTGAATAAAGTTTGCCAGAGAAATAGTAATAAACTCACGTTTGATATTTACTATTGGTAGTGGTTTGTGTGGTTGTTCTTTTCTGTGTCTATCAATCAATGTGTTCTTTTGATTTTTAAGAGTATCCTCCAGGAGAGGAGTGTATCCTTTAATCTTAATATATTCAAGTGATGAATGAATGAAGATAGTTTCATATAAATGTTGTACTAGTTCTATCCAGTTAGGTTGAAATGACTCATTAATATCTCTACACTCTATCCTCAGTAGTCTGATAGTTGTATGTGACTGTAACATGTTAGTAACAGCAGGTAGTACCTGTTCATAAAACAATGGTGTCATTATTTGTTCCTTCTCTTCCCTACTACAGCTACTGTATGAATGATTTGGTGTGAAGTTCACTTTAAGTTCTGTGAGATTGTTCTTTTGAGAGATGACATTAATAAAAGTTCTTATCTCTTCATTCAGTGGAATGGATACACTCAACTGCTGCAGACTGGTATTGTGTCTG